CACTTCAATTTTATTCCACAATTCAGTATCAATACAATTGCGAATGATATGTCTATAGGGTGATTTAAGTTTATCAATAGAACTCTAAGCTGAAAGTTAGCAATGAAATTGTTTCGATTTTCCCCCGGAACAAATTTCGCGCATGGACAAATACAGTGAACACCGTAAATCCGACCTTGCCCTCCACGAGGGAGTTATTTTTGGAAGTTAATTCGAACTTTTCTCTTTGCTCATGTTGTGAAGAATCCAGGCGTGAATGTATTTGTTGATTATATGGGAACCTGACAACAGTCGGTAGATTCTATAACATCCTCGTTATTTGACATGTCGTCAGAAACTGAGGAATAGTGGATGCGAGACGCGTGAAACTGATCGCGTTTGAAGTGAGTGATCTTGCGACGGAGCACAGTTTCGTTACAAATGTCTGAAATTTTATGTGTGCTGTGACTCATATCAGTAGGTCTGTAACATATGTGTCAGTAGGGCTATAGAATATGTGTATTTCAGACATTTGTAACAAACCTCTGTTGATCAGTGCAGTGTAACAGACGATATTTCTGATAAATTGCATGAGCGTTAAAATTGTTTCCATTGCCGGCATTGGTGATTTCAACCTATGTGCATTTTGTACGATATTTCAGACATTGATCTTGTTTTTGTTGTAATAAAAGTGTTGTTTTTTTATTTTTTATTTTGCACATAAATTTACAATGACATTGTTAAATCTCAAAATGCCCAGCGATATTTCAGCAGCCGTCATGTTTATTTATATTGGATATTGACTAATTATTCTAGGTCCGGTCAGTGTTGTATTAATACGCTAAGAATTGTGTCTCGTGGTGCATGGTAATGAAAGTCCCGTCAACGACCCAGCTTTCAAAGAGGCTATATAGTGACAATGCCATGCAAATGTAAATATATATGTGTAGTATGATATAGCCTCCAAGGCCAAACCTTAAATGTAGATGATCATGAAATGTATATATTTGTGTATTGTTTATTTCTTCTGTTATGTGTATAAACATGTGTATGCTGATTTATAATACATATACAACAATGTTGGTCATGTTAACATGGCATACCTATACAGTTAATAAATAGCATTTATTAAACAGTATCCTATTGTTCTGATTGTTTATGAATCTTGAAAAAATGGGGTTGTTTATTTTGTCATTGTCAAAGTAGACAGTGGAATGGTGTTTCTTGTGTACATGATTGAGATTAACTTTATTACATAAAGAACGATAGGTTGTTTTATTGTGTAATGTAATAATATCAGCATTTTATTTACTTGTGTTTATTACACTATATTGAAATGTGACAATCTGTAACAAGAGGCCTAGAGGGCCTGTATCGCTCACCTGAAAATGTTAGTAAAATTGAAGTTGGAAGTTGCTGGTAGTGTACATGTATTGCATGGTTAGTCAGGGGTTATGTTTATATGCAATTGGACAAAATCCTGTCATTCCTACAGGAAAAGAAGGATATTGAAGAATTTGCTATGTTTCCCCTATTGGGCCCCGCCCCTCTGCTCCTAGGGGGGTCAGACCCACCTTTGATAGAAAATCAGGTCACCTTTACCCAATGATGCTTTAGACCAAATATGGACAAAATCCTCTTATTCCTACAGAAGAATTTTTTTCAAGAATTTGCTAAATTACCTCTTTTGGGCACCACCTCTCAGGCCCCAGAGGGGTCAGACACACCATTATACAAAATTTGTTCCCCTTCCCCTAAGGATGCTTCTGACCAAATTTGGTCAAAATACCTTCATCCTAACGAAAGAAAAAATGATATTAAAGCTATTCCTCTATATCCCTTATTTGGCCCTGCCTCTCTGCCCCAAGCGGGGCCAGACACACCGTTTATACAAAATTGGTTCCCCTTCAACCAAGGATACTTCATACCAAATTTGGACAAAATCCTGTCCTTCCTACAGAAGGACAAGGATTTTGAAGAATTTACTAGGTTTTCCCTATTGGGCCCCGCCCCTCTGCTCCCAGGGGGCCACACAAGATGCAAGGATGTTCCAGACTAATTTAGGGTAAAATACTTTAATCTCTATGGTAGAAGAAGGATTTTAAAGGTTTTACCTCTATTTCCATTGTTTGGCACCGCCCCTATGCCCCCACTGTTTATACAAAATTGAGTCTCCTTGGCCTAAGGATGCTCCAGACCAAATTTAGTCAAATTCTACTTAGCCGTTCAGGTCTAGTAGGGTTTTAAACGAAAAGTTGACGGACGGACGACAAACTACGAATGCTGGACGCCGCACCTTCGGACCAGGTGAGCTAAAAATGTAGGAGAAAATCTCCGGACAAAAAATGAAATACTGAAATGAACAAAGGGCAATAACTTTTGCAAAAATTGTCGAATCAAAATTCTTTTAAGGGAGACACAATTTCATATCATGATTCTTTAGCCTACTAAGTTTCAAAGCAATCCGTCAAAAAATGTAGGAGAAGATCTCGGGACAAAAAATCAAATACTGAAATGAACAAAGGGCAATAACTTTTGCAAAAATTGTCGAATCAAAATTCTTTTAAGGGAGACACAACTTCATATCATGATTATTTAACCTACTAAGTTTCAAAGAAATCAGTCAAAACATGTAGGAGAAGATCTCCAGACAAAATGGGCCTGCATCGCTCACCTGGTATAAATCTCACACTTGTAACCTTAAAAGTGATCTAAAATAAAGCTACAGGCAAATAAAATTTCAGTATTTACAATTAAAATTCATTCAAAAGAACCTATTATTTTTTTTTAAAACATTTTACCCCTGTGATTGAAAGTCGAACAAAGTCATTTTGTTGAACAAATTTTATAGCCTTTCATCTCAGGATGCAACTTGCAAAGTATCAACATCCTGGGACCCATGATTATTCAGAAGAGGTTGTTTAAAGATTTTAAACAAATTTGACCCCTGTGACCTTGAATATAAGTCAAAGTCATTCAGTTAACCAAACATTGTAGTCCTTGATCCCAGCATGCTACTGACTAAATATCAACATCCTGAGCCTTTTGGTTATTCAGAACAAGTTGGGTTTTTTTTTTTACATTTTGAACATATCTGCTCCTTGTGACCTTGAATATGATTCAAGGTCATACATTTAAACAAACTTGGTAGCCCTTGATCCTAGTATGCTACTGACTAAATATCATCACCCTGGGCATTTTTGGTTATTTAGAAGAAGTTGTTTAAAGTTTTTAACATATTTGACCCCTGTGACCTTGAATATGGGTGAAGGTCATTCATTTGTACAAACTTTGTAGCCCTTCATCTTAGCATGCTACTGGCCAAATATCATCAACCTGGGCATTTTGGTTATTCAGAAGAAGTTGTTTAAAGGTTTTTTAAGACAATTGACCCCTGTGATCTTGAATATAATTGAAGGTCATTCATTTGAACAAACTTTGTAGCCCTTCACCCAAGCATGCTACTGGCCAAATATCATCTCCCTGGGCAGTTAAAGTTTTTAACATATTTGACCCCTGTGACCTTGAAAATGGGTGAAGGTAATTAATTTTAACAAACTTTGTAGCCCTTCATCCCAGTTTGCTTCTGGCCAAATAACATCACCCTAGGCCTTTTGGTTATTAAGAAGAAGTCGTTTAAAGTAAAATATTGACGCCAGACGACGACGGCATAAGCTCACTTGGCACTTCGTGCCAGGTGAGCTAAAAATTGTTGAATCAAAATTCTTTTACGGACGACCAGATAGACGGACGATGCCATACCATAATACTCTCGTCAAATTTGACGGGCATATAAAAAGTAGTATCTGGTCCTGTTCAATTTTAGCCATAATTTTGAGTGAAATAGTGTTAAAATATTGCAGGGATATTTTTAGGGCAGAAAAATCATAGGCCATTTGCGATATATTCAAGCAAATTTTCTAAGAGTTTGAGTTACCCGGTCATACAACAGTTACTTTTGAAAGTCTTGCAGGAAAAAGTCAAGAAATATATGCACAGAGAAAAGTGGACATCATTACATATATTATGGTCCAGGTGAGCACTGCTTTATAATATAAAGTAATATCATTTATAGTCTATTTGACAAGAACAAAAGATTGGATTAATAATCTGTGACATTTAACTCACTACCGCAGAGGTCAACACTGTACTAAAAGTGACCAGTACTAGATTAGACGAACCTGAAATTTCCCGGAAAACTGTTACGACTTGACAATGTGCCATCTTCAGGTTCCTTCAGGTCATGTTTCTTCAGGAAGTCAGCAAAATAACGGTATTCACTCTCCGGAATAAAGGGACTTAGACCTAAGGGTAAACAAATGTTAAACATGATGACAAAATCCAATTTGTTTTAATGAATACACCCTAATAATAACAGGCACTACTAGACAACTTGATGGAGACAAAATTGTGATAAAATCTCCTAGTCCTAATGATAGAAGGATGATTTCAAAAGTTTTACCTCTATTTCTCCTTTTCGGCTCTGCCCCCAGGGGCTACATCCACATTTTTTTTTACAAAATTGAGTGCCCTTGGTCTAAGGATCCTCCAGCCAAATTGGGATGAAATCCCTAAATCCCTACGCTAGAAGAAGGATTTTAAATGTTTTACCTCTGTTACCCCTATTAGGCCCCATCCAGTGGCCCTAGAGGGGCCACACTCACCTTTAATACAAAATTGAGTCCTCTTGGCCAAGGATGCTTCAGACTCAATTAGGATATAATCCCTTTATCCCCTCGATAGAAGGATTTAAAAGTTTTACCTCTATTTCCCCTATTGTGCCCCTCTCTTTTGGTAGGTGAGCTAAAATTGTACTTTGAGAAAAATTATGTCTGTTTAACTTTCTATGAAATACAACTGAGAAAATATTTTATCGTAGACCGAAACCTTGTTTTGTTATTTTTTGCTGTTCCAAAACCTTGGTACATGTAATTTCTGAAAAATCCATTACTTTAAGCTTCTGATTAAATGTCAAACAAAAGATTACCTCCCAATAGATTCTTGCGTTTTGGACCATATAACTTGAATACCTGGTCACAAAACTCTGGGAATGGCATGTGTGAACTGGAATCATTAAGTGTTTTAAGCAAGCTAGCAAACGTCGTCAGTTCCTCGAGGTTAAACTGATTTGGAAGCTACAAACAAACAAACAAACATATTGATACAATTTATGAGGAAGGGAAACACTCCGAAATTGTCAAATTTTCATATTATTCTTTTATAATTAAATCTTGCTTGTAACAAGCATTTTCATTGGCTTAAATAATTTATGTTATCAGCCCATAACGTAAAAAAATGACGTCACTGTTTGTAACGTCGCTTTTGATTGGCTGATACAGCAGCCCAATAGTTTCTAAAAGAAAAGGGTCCATCAATAAAAGTGGACTTCCACAGGGATTGTGTATAGTAGATTAAATTATAAGGATTAACTTGAATATATTTTTCATGTTATGGACCTATAACACAAAAAACCGGAGTGTACTCTCGCGGTTTATTTAGAGTAAACTCCGTTTTTTGTGTTATATCTCCATAACANCAATATATTTTTCATGTTATTGACCTATAACACACAAAAAACGGAGTGTACTCTCATTTAGAGTACACTCCGTTTTTTGTGTTATATCTCCATAAAATAAAAAATATATTCAAGTTAATCCTTAAATAGTATACAATCTGGAACATTTTATGATCATTTGAGCTTATTTTGTTTATACACACCTCTTCCATATAAACGTTGACTAATTTTGTCCTTGAGCTGGTATCACTATTCCCGGATTCACTCTTTGACCGTGCCATCGGATCCTTACTGTTTGGAGAATAAATTTGGTCTTGTGACGTTGACATACTGTAGACACAACGATCACATTTAATAAACTAACCCTACAATAATGAAGTAAGGTTGCACAAACCGTAAAAACCCGTGTAATTTGCACACCTATGTAATTTGCACAAGTACTTTTTGAGGCTGAAAATCTGAAAAAAAAGCTTCTACTCAAATATTTTGCGCACCAAAATAAATCTGAAAAAAAATGATGTTCATGCTCCGAAAATGGATCTCTGAAAATGAAACAGAACCCGCTTGATATATTTTTTTTAAATATATTTCTTAGGATTTTTGTAATTTGTTTATTATCAGTTAATATTTCTTGTTTACACAGGTACAATGATATGAAAGTGCGCAAACTACACAAGTTTTTATGGTAATTAGATGAAGAAAACTGAAGTACGTAAATATAAGATGTTTTTACCAAAACCAATAGCTCTATTCAAAGTTATAACAACGTACATGCAACCTGTAATTATCAAGTAACGAAGCATACACAGTTTTTTATAAAATGTGTCACTGGAGACTTCTCTGTATATTACACCTGTACACACATATTCCCTCATAATTATCTATAAGACTCAACAAAAGGTTACACGAATAAATTACCACATTAAAATCAACAACCAAATGATAAACATTTCCATCATTCAAAATAATATGCGTATCAAATACTGGATACCGTGTCATACATGAGACAGAATTTATAACAGTGACTTTGTGGATAGCCCTGCTTTGCTGTCTAAGTATGTTGAAGCTGAAAAATGTTAACGGAGTATTCAGAACAATTTTGATGATACTACTTGAAATAGTAGACTCGAAATACTCTGAAATTAATGTTTTCCTAAATTTAGGTCAGAGGTCAAAGTATAGACTGCAGTGACCTAGATCTGATACAAGACACTCTGTCTTTCCTAGATGTATCTAGATACATACCAAATCTGATGATTCTGCATTAAATAGTGACGGAGAAATGCTACAAAAATAAATTCTTCTTAACTGACGTCAGGGCCACAGTGAGATAGGTTTTGTACACAACATCCCAGCTTCCCGACCTGTACTGATTTACTAAGTTTAATGTTCCAATACTAAACAGTACAGGCGAAACTCTCAGAAAATAATTCAGATAGGAGCACAAATACCATACAGGCATACACCATCTATTTACATTTAAGTAGAAACAAATACAAATTAACTTGTATACTTACAATGAAGGCCTTTCACTCGTTGATGAAGTAATGGTGGAATCTGTAAACATAAAACGGTATTCTTTTAATCTGCTCGATGAAGAAGGCATATCAAACTGAACAACAGAAAATATATTGTTGCTTTTGACATTCCTCAATTATTTTTATTTCATGTGTCGATAAAAATTTACGTACATTGACATGTAAGGTTCCCTGTCCCAATGCACTGCCGGTTTTTCTATTTACAGTATAAATCTACCAGCACACTGCTTACTTAGACATCGGCTTTTGTGAACAAAAACGTATGTCTCCCCTTTAACGGTTTAAAACTGAAGGCCTGGACAAGATTTTCCTGAAAACTTTGCACTTATTTGATCTTTGACCTTGAGGTCAAGGTTGCAGTGACTTAACGACAGTTTTATCAGGATATCTTTAACTTAGCACTTATTTGACCTTATCATTAGAGGAACTGCCAACTGCTAAATTATAAAATCCATATAAGTTCTGATCGTAATGGGGACCATTACAGAAGTCCTCAAACTGACCCCATAGTCACAAAAGATGCTTGGATAAAGTTTACAATGCCATCATATACTTGCTAACTAAGTTTAAGATCATAGGAGTGTATTGATAAACGGAAATAGGAAGTGCATCCCTAGTTGAAAATCCAATGTAGGGAGACAGTATCACAATTTCCCCATATTCTGATGTTTAATATTAAACTGATAAATATTGCATGTTTATTATTGACAGAACAGTGTGTTCTCTCAATATTAAAGAATTTCAAAGAAATCCAGGCATTAATTCAGGGTTTTTTATCAATGAGTCACATGTGTCCATTTTTCTGTACTTCAGGAACCCTGCTACCTATTTCACTACTGTGAAGTTTTTCAAGAAAGATAACTCTTTACATGCAATTACTATATGTACATGGTTTTATTATAAAATGTCAATTTTTAAACGTTTATAGATAATTAATTTTACACAATTTCAGCATTTATTAAATTGATATACATTAATGCAATACTTATCTATATCAGTATCATTTTTATTGACATTATTTTGCCTAAAATTGTGTCTTTCATTTTTTTTTCAAAACTCACTCCTTTTTACATAAATTTTCATTTCAAATCCTTTAAATTCTGACAACCTATATTTTTTTGTGGCAGAAAATTTTCCTTACTTCAATGCAATATAACTACAAAATTGGAAGAAATTCTACTGAGAAATGGTGACAATCCTATTACCTTAAGCAAAATTAGAAACAGTGAGGGACCGTTGGCATCACCTTGGCGTACACCTTTAAATGTTCGAAACAATCAGACTTTTTTGGGGGGCAAGGTCACAATGACCTCATGACAGTGCACTGCACATCCTCTGTAGGTGATGCCGGTATACTGATATCTTTAACAGTTTAAAAGTTATGGCCTGAACAAGATCATATAAGAAGAACCAGAACCAGAAGAAACAGTACTAAAACAAAATGTCTCCCTTCATTTGAAGGAGAGATATAATAACGGTAAATTAAAAGTCAGAGTTTTTAATAAAACATTATGTACCAAGACAACTAAGTAGATACAACATATGTTTATAATGCCCAATTAGTTATTGTGACATATATATCTAAGATGAAAAATGTATCTAACTTTACAACCTGAACAAAAGAGCTACTACCTTGGTATGTGAATATAGAGGATCTTACATGAGTTTCCATTTCATATGAGATTTATGGAACGAGTCTAAGAATTTTTCAAATTAGCGAGCTAAAATGAAACATTCATGACGAGTTTCATAAACATATGAAATGAAAACGAGTGTAGGATCATTTTTTATCACATACATGAACCGGGTAATCAAGATCTGTGGCATTTATTTGTGTAAAACCACATTTTTTCATGCAACCTTGAAATGTAAAAAGCCGCCATTTTGACTCCAGTGCGTAAGTATGTGACGTCATGTACTTGTCATAGGCGTGACGTAACAATTGAGACAATTGAAACTTACAACCAATCACTGGGCTGATAGGTCATATTACATGGCTTAATATTAACTGGATAACACAGTACATTATGTGATAAAAGGAATTATCCTCTGCCATCTTGTATATTATACCTAATTATAAACCATGAGCTATGTATTTGCATAACCTATATGTTGTATAGCATTCGGAAAATAAAATGTGAAGTTGAAAAAGTCCAGAAGAAGCCTATTTTTATTATCACCTGTCACCCAATAATGAAACCAAACCAATTATCAATGGATCTGCCAGTACCTGTGGAGTGGACGGACTTTACTTCAATAGCCTGCTCCAACAACTGTATGGTAAATTCTATGTAAACCATCTGGAAACATTTCTCAACCAAGGCGCAAATATCCTGGGCCTGACCCTGAAAAATAAGTTAAAAAATATGGTATCACACGTAAGACTCATTCTTTTCTGCTCTTTAACATCAAAAGTATAAGCAATAACACTTAAAACAATCAGAAAAAAATATACTTCATAAACCCTAACCCTAACTATAATCACGTTCTGCCTTAAATATAACACCATGAATGCAATAGCAAATACATATGGATATGCAGTGTGTACACTACCAGTTTGAGGAGTGAATTTTCTAAAAGTGTTCAACCTTACCAGAAGTTAAATGGATATGGCTTGTGCTGGGGCAGATATGGCTTGTGCTGGACAGATATGGTGGATGCTGGACAGATATGGTGCAAGCTGGGCAGATATAGCTTGTTCTGTGCTGATATGGAGGGTGCTTGGCTGAAATGGAGGGTGCTGGGCAGATATGGTGGATGCAGGACAGATATGGTGGGTGCAAGGCAGATATGGTGGGTGCTGGGCTTATATGATTGGTGCTAGGCAGATATGTCTTGTGCTGGGCTGATATCGTGGGTGCTGGGCAGATATGGTGGGTGCTGGGCAGATATGGTTGGTGATGGGCTGATATGGTGGATGCTGGACAAATATGGTGGGTGCTGGGCAGATATGGTGGGTGCTGGGCAGATATGATGAGTACTGGGCAGATATGATGAGTGCTGGGCAGATATGATGGGTGCTGGGCTGAAATGGTGGGTGCTAGGCAGATATGGTGGGTGCTGGGCAGATATGGTGGGGGCTGGGCAGATATGGTGGGTGCTGGGCAGATATGGTGGGTGCTGGGCAGATATGATGAGTGCTGGGCAGATATGGTGGGTACTGGGCTGAAATGGTGGGTGCTAGGCAGATATGGTGGGTGCTAGGCAGATATGGGGGTGCTGGGCAGATATGGTGGGTGCTGGGCTGATATGTTTGGTGCTGGGCAGATATGGTGGGTGCTAGGCAGATATGGTGGGTGCAAGGCAGATATGGTGGGTGCTAGGCAGATATGGTGGGGGCTGGGCAGATATGGTGGGTGCTAGGCAGATATGGTGGGTGCTAGGCAGATATGGTGGGTGGGTGCTAGGCAGATATGGTGGGTGCTGGGGAAAAATAAGAAAAAAACTTCTTTCTAGATTCTACACTCCTTACCTGATTAGCACAATACATCACAGCAAGATCACAATTATCTGGATTTCCTGTAATTGACAAATCACGATTTTATTAATGATGGCATTTGAAATGTATATAAAACCATGTGGAAGATATTTCAAAATAAGAAACTAAAAAAAGACAACTTTTTTAAATGTGTCAATGTTTTTTGTAAACCAAACAGTATGGGACAAAACAACACTGAATGATGGTAAACATAATTCAGTAGAGACTGTCTAGAAAGACCACTCCCCTTTAACTGTCTAGAAAGGCCACTCCCTTTTAACTGTCTAGAAAGACCATTCCGTTTTAACTGTCTAGAAAGACCACTCCCCTTTAACTGTCTAGAAAGACCACTCCCCTTTACCTGTATAGACAGGCCATTTTATTTTACTTGTGCAGACAAGCCACTCCCATTTTACTGTCATGATAGACCAATCCCTTTTATCTCCACATCCTTTTAACTGATCAGAATGACCATTATCTTTTATTGTCTAGAAAGACCATTCCATTTTACCTGTCTAGAAAGACCACTCTATTTTAACTGTCTAGAAACACTACTTTTTTTTACTATATTAATACTTTCTTTTTAACTAACAAGAAATACACCCCCTTTTTATTATCTAGAAAGACCACTCCCTTTTCCCTGTCTAGAAAGACCACACCCCAATTTTTCCTGTCTAAAAAGACCATTCCCATTTATCTGTCTAGAAAGATCATTCCAATTTTATTGTCTAGAAAGACCACCGCCCATTTCGACTGACCAGAGTGACCACTTCATTTTACCTGTCCAGGAAGACCATTCCCTTTTTACTGTTTAGAAAGGCCACTCCTTTTACCTGTCTATAAAGACCACCACCCATTTTACCTGTCTATAAAGACTATTTCCCTTTACCTATTTAGAAAGGCAACTCCCTTTTCCTTGTCTAGAAAGATATCTCTCTTTTTACTGTCAAGAAAGACCACCACTCATTTTACCTGTCTACAAAGACCACTCACATTTTAACTTACCAGAGTGACCACTACATTTTACCAGTCCAGAAAGATCATTCCCTTTTACCTGTCTAGAAAGACCACCCATTTAACTATAATCGTGATCTCTCAACACAGATAACCTCTCAACAGGTTAAATTTGTTACATGGCTCCGCCTGAACATCTGAATGTGCCACGGTCAGGGTCACGTTCAAGTGACCTTTACATGAACCAATCAGAGGTGCGCTGGCAAAAGTTTGCCAGCAAATCGGAATATCATGGTTGATAGATAAATAGCGAGGGGTATCGAACAGATTAGTTTTCTAAAACAAATATGGCGGCGGGATCTGATGTTTCTTCGACGCCAAGGAAAACGTACCCATTGGGTAATAATTGCATAGGCAACACCACCATACAGTCCATCTTCTCTAATGAAGCTTCGATTTTTTTTCTGTTCGGGTTTCAGACGATCAATCTCAAATACCTTCAGAACTTTCGCATCATTCTCATCAATGTCCGACATATTTGTTACATCTCAGAGCGCCCTTTTGAAAGAGGGTCTCTGATTGGTCAAAATTTAATGAGTATTTATAAATATGAAGGTCACCTGAACGTGACCCTGACCGTGGCACGCTCAGATGTTCAGGCGTAGTACGAAGTTAACGAAGTCAAGTAACATATGATTTTAATCAGATTGAAATTCAATGTGCGACTATGGTCTTTAAAAACAATAGGTCTCCCATTAGAATGGTCTAGCTTTCCAGTCAGAGAGCTAACATGGCTTATATGGCCCAGTGAACTATATGAACTGTTAATATAAATTTACAAGATGTATGTGTATAATTAATACATAAGACTTACTCGATCAGGCCAGGTGAGTAATCAACTTAATATTGAAATGATTTTAAATATTTACATATTCAGTATATAAAATAATGTTTGAATGTGTTCTCACCAACTAGTTCAAAAACAGGAATGAAATAGCTTCAATTTTCCTATAACATAATGATATTCAAGGGGTGCAGAGAGCGAAAGTGAGCAGAGTATCGGGGATCGCTTATGGTTGCCAGTGTCACGATCGCATGTATTGTCTCGTGGTGTTTATGTTGATCGTATGTAGATATATATATTTGTGAATGTCCAGTGTTATTGTTATTACGAATCACGTGGTCAGTTGACGGATGTTACGGTAAGTAAATAGGTAGGGAGCGGAAGTGCACGAGCTCAGGACACAGGTAAACATGTGTGGACGCGCCATAGCCACCTGTCGTGGGTTTTAGTACTCACAGCGGCCTACCTCAGTAGTTACAGGCACAGGTTACAGACTGTGGTAAGTAATATTAGTATTAAGCTTTATGTAACTCTATTTTTCCATCTTTATGTCCTAATATTGTCCGATTAACGTCTATTGAGCCGTATAGGATAGTGCGGTCCGGTCATGCGTGACGCTTGGGTAGTGAGCGATTACCACAGTACAGCACGTGCATGTAGGCTAAATTGTATGAATATGTTTTTAGAGATACTTTATGGGTTTATAAGTATGTATATCTCGATGCATAGTTATGTACGAATGTAATAGTGTTGTAATGTTGATGATATGTATTGGAATAGTGATAAACCGTTATGTATAGGTGAGGTCTCGATAGAGTGTAAAAAGTATGGAAGCCGCGTGGTGCCATACTCGACTGTGTACTTGGAACTATGTATTGCCGGACCGGAATTAGGTTTAATTGTTATAATAGTTATTATAGTATATCACTTAACTGTTTCCATTACTAGATATCATAGAGTCTCACGTCAGTGTTAAGATTGTCGAATATGATTGTGTCATTATATAATTGTCATGTTGATATTTTGTGAGGAATCCATTGCTTGAATGGTGAAGTATGCAAGATTGTAATGGCTGTTTTGGGTATTGTTTAAGCTTTCCTGAGGAGGATTACGACCACATCTGGACATTGCAGTGGATACATGCGAACGGGGCATCAGGACCTTCCCATGCAAAGGGTCAAGGTCAGCCACAGGTCATCCACAGCGGGCAAGTCATGGTCACTGAAGGGGTCAGCCAGAGCTGTACAGATAGGGAACTCTTAGTGGACACTATTTGTGTAACTTACTAGTTTATTTTGTTCATTTCTAATTATCTCTACCGACGCTCGTCCCGCGTTACAGCCAGGATAATCAAGTTTATGTCACAAAAGCAATAATGTCAAAATCAGGAAACACACATCAATGACTCTTTAGAGTCAAACAAATGGACACATAAACATTGAGGTAAGAAAATTCTCCAGATTCCAGCACTTACCATGTTTGATAGACAATATATGTACACGGTCATCTTGTATGTAACAGATGGCAGCTATTTCATGAATCGGTAACCGAAGTATCACCTACGAAATATTTCAAATGTATTTATTTGAATTCAATTTTACATCTTGATTATACAGTATGAATAATCAATATGACACACTGAAAAACAATGAAGTATCATGTCCCCTAAAAACATTTATAAATTTTGCTGCAAAGTTTAATAAATAAAGTTACTTCACTCTACAATTTCAATTATGCTTGCTAATGTTATTAAGCAGTTTTAAAAATATTTTTGGAAATTTGTTAGAATCGTTTACAACTTTATAATAAGTTATTTATTTTCAATCACACAGATCACATTTGCTATAATATATTTTCAGACTTAACAATATACAGGACAGTTCTTACAACTTTTCATTTAAAATATTACTTGGTGTTTAACGGTTTTAGTCGACACGCTGGCAAACATGACATTGTAAAGACAATTATTGTGACTGTGAGGGACGGACGGAAAACACATTCACCTCATTGCCGGCTTTCTTCAGCAGCTTGATGTTGCTCTTACTGAGACTGAGAATGACCTCCACCTCAAACTTGGCCTGTAGGGGGATCCTCCCTTGTTTCTACAACACATTTCAACAAATAGTGTTAGTGGACTCCCAATGCCAAAAAGCTTTGGGTTTTTTTTAAGTACAAAAATTGGACACACCAGATCAAAGTCGGAAACCTCAAGTTCTAAACCACAGATGTTAACCAAGTGACAATTTATGTATTGGGGAAAGCTTAACTATCATACGGTGTTATGTATTAGATGATAATTAATACAGTCAAACTTTGTTACATCAAACTCTAATAACTGTAAGACCCGATTTAACTCAAAAGTATTTCTTTGGTCCCGGCCAAAACCGTTCTTTATCTTAGTAAAAACTCGATAAATTCAGATTATATCCCGATGTGAAATCTTGATTCCAACAGTATAAATCCTTCATCAAAGTATTGCTTATCTAAAAGATTTTTATTAATATGCACCTGTCAATCTTATAATCTTAAATACATATTAGACATAACGCTACGGTAGTTCGCCATTCAATGTTTCTGAACATATTCTTATTGAGCAGTTTACATTCGGTAATAATTATTTTCTATTATCAACTTATGACAGTAAAATATGTTTGACTGTTCATAAACAGTTATCAGTACTTACTGCAAGCTAATGAAACAATTCATTTACATCTAAGCTGACAATTTTTCCACAATACCATCGACTTCGAGATAACAAGGTTCAACTGTATGCATGTATCAAAGAGTACTGAAATATCATTCCGTATTTATGATGCCTTTCAGTTTGAGATGAAAGCTGCATGTGGAAAAAAGAAAGGGATTTAGGAAAAAATTCTGTCATATATATCTGTCATTATTAATTAACAAAGTATACATGGCGTAGATTGAAGAAGAAAATGAGACTGGCCAAAGTAATTGTAGCCTAGTTAATCCAGCCGACACTTCTGTGGGTGTCCCACTATCAAGCCACTGTTTTAGGGGCCACGTCAGTTGGTCCTTTTCTGTACAAAAACATCAGTACTCCAGCAATTTTACAATCAAACTATAGCTACTTTACCTGGATAGGAATGTGATTGGACAATCTACAGGGAATGACAGTGGATGAAGTATCTACTGAGAATACAAATGGATTATCTACTGGGAATGAGAATGACTGGATTATCTACTGGGAATAGGAAGGTAGATGGAATTTCTGTTGGGAAGGAATGTGTAACGATTATCTACTGAGAATGCAGATGGATTATCTACTAGGAGTGTAGATGCAATATCTACTGGGAATGAGAATGACTGGATTATCTACTGGGAATGGGGAGGTAGATGGAATTTCTGTTGGGAAGGAATGTGGAAAGATTATCTACTGAGAATGCAGATGGATTATCTACTAGGAGTGTAGATGCAATATCTACTGGGAGTGAGAATGACTGGATTATCTACTTTGAATGAAGGAGGATGGATTATGTACAGGAAATGAATGTAAATGGATTATCTACTGGGAATGCAGTTGGATCATCTACTGGGAATGAGAATGACTGGATTATCTACTGGGAATGAAGGGTAGATGGATTATCTGTTGGGAAGGACTGTGGAAGGCTTATCTACTCGGACTGAAGGTTGATTGATTATCTACTGGGAACAAAGGTGACTGGACAATCTCATGCATCATTACCAAGTACACTTGTATTACCTTTCCGCTATCAATTATCCTCAGCACTTCTGTCCTGTTCGTGACATCTACCTCCATGGGAACTCCAGGTATCACCCCCGCAAACTGTTAAGAAGCAACTATTCTGTCACTGTGTGCTTAGTGTGGATTTTGTGTTATCACCAAATCCAGACACTCAGATCACACATTAATCCAAACTGGTTTATTTTATTATGATTTTGATAAGTTAGCTCAAACGCACTTTTAATCCTGATTTTGTTCAAAGTTCCATCAAACTCAAGATAGACGTGGTTCAACTGCAAATGCTGTACAACAAAATGTTTGTTATGTGTAACTATAAAAGTGAAAGCAAACACAGGAGACATTTTCAATAACAGAAAAATATCATGTTATTTAAAATATCAAATGTTCAGCAACACTGGTAAAATAAATTTGATGATCAATACGACAAAAACTGGTAGAAGATCTGTAAGGAGATTGTTTTTCGAAGACTCTGCATCCCCACAACAACTAAATGTGAAGTAAAAACTAAATACATTGGGCCACTTAAAAGTGTCATCTCATTTCATAACCAACTGGCATGAAATGTACAGTCAAAACATTATCATTTATAAAATAGAGGTAGCAGATGAAAATGAAAAGATATAGGTTCCAAATGATACATTGGGGGCAACAAGTCAACTTTGGTCTCTTTTGAATTTCCAATAAAATGAGTTCACAGAAGAAACCAAGGATTCACAACCTTAATTCAATCACAGGTACCAGTCTCGTCTGTCAATACAACTATAGGTAATAATTTAGGTGTATTGACAGACGGGGCTATAGCTAGTACCTGTGATTCAATATTATAATTTGCCAGTTAATTATTATCAACTTGCAAGTAAATGGATACAACATTTTGTATACCGATGCCCTTATCTTTAAGGGACTCTAAAAGTAAAAAAGTAAATATATCATACCCGCACAACAAATTCCTTATAGTCATTCTGTGTAAACACGGCTGAAGATGTCGGGTAGTCAGGTGGGTTTATGGACTGACTTGCTGCTCGTCTACTTGGGTCCTGTAGAGATGATCGAATTTCCCGAGGTCTTGCTCCAGGTCCAAACCTATCACTTTTCTGAAACATCATGATCACCGAATGTAGTCAATTCACAATAAACTATTTAACGTGATCAAAAATATCCTTCTATCCTTCAAATAAAAAGGTCTGAAATCCTTTACTGTACAGTACAGTAAAGGATTTCAGACCTTTTTATTTGAAGGTGTTTTTTTTTTCCTTCCTATTTATTGACATTTTATTGATGATAAAACCAGTTCAATATGTATTGACTCGGTTATAACGGAAACAAAAAACGATAAACACATAAACTGATACAGTATATTGTATCTATAATTGTAGAACGGATCTAAAAAGTGTTAATATGAAAAGTTCAAACCTTTCTTTTCTTCGTTACCTCATCCATTGGAAACCAATCGCCAGTGTCCATCTGGATGTAATAAAATGTCACTAATACAACCCCATTAGCCAAAAATTACAAACAGTTTTCGGTAACGTCGTGTTTGTCAACATTCCGCAGCCATTTTATTTTCCTGTTTAAATCTCTATCGCTTAGACGCTTCTTCCTAAATTGTACAGTTACTTCCCCTATACCATCAACAAATGTAAAATGTGCATGTTCGTTATGCAGGCCTTAAGCTTGCAAGGCTTTGTCAAGGCTCGCCTGAAAGCAGCGTCAAATTACTAGGTCCGACATTATTTCATAAACGAACAACTCTGGTCAAACCGCTGCAACCATTTTAATCGCGATTTTTCATAGGCAATATTTTACTACCATAAATAGATATATTATTTGGTAATAATTAATTATTTTGAATAAAAAAATATTCTAGAATCCAAGGAGAACTGAATTCTACATAAACACCACAAGTGAATGAAATGCACACGCATTTATTTATTTATTATGGAGGCACGTGTAGTTCAAAAACTTAATATGCTAAAAGTTAATTTAGTGAAACAACTTAAACTGAACCATGTCTTAAATATTTGCCACAATAAATTCTGTCCTATCTTAAAAAAAATCTTTCCGTGAAAAATTAATTACATTTTACAAGATCGACTTTAATGAACTTTAATTAAAACCAAACGCGTACGTGACAGGACAAGAATTCTCAACTTTCTCCCACAGTGCATCAAAAGACTGGAATCATCTTCCTAGTGACCTAAAGCATTAACTAATATCAACCATTTCAAATTTAAGGATAAAAAAGCACTACTTGAAAATTAAGTGTTCGTATATCAGTGGTAATTTGCATAAAAGCAAGGAATGCGTGAAAAAAACTCAGGTTTAAGTTCATATTCCAAAAACATGCTCTCCTAGACCAATTAAAAAGAGAATGGGCAAAATGGCATCACCTTTTTGAAAATACCAGATCCTGACATTTGGACCAACTTGCCATACTTGTTACATTGAGTAAATATATACTATTGATTTAGCTAACACTCACCACAGCTCACAGAATTTCAGATTAAAAAATAAATTTTAAATAATTCTACCGTTATTTTCTGATTTTTGTATGATAATGTATTGATATGTGTATCTATTTGTCTGTTTTATGTCATTTATAAATTGTGTATTAATGTGAAAATTTGAAAAATAAAACATAAAAATCCTCTCAGCTTTTCCACACTCGATAAAGATGCTACAATTATCATGTGTGCCTTCTCCGAGTTAATTTTATCAGGACATCCGTTGTTGATATATATGCTAACTTGAGTCGGGATAACGGTTAAAATTGTCATTAAGAAATCAATGCCGATCAATGAACAAAACCTTTCGAAATATGGTCTATCATAATTATAATATTATCCATATCCAGCCAAGTTTTGTCGGTTCTGTTAGCTGGATTACTGAATAGTTCCCGTCTGGGACTTGTCCGTTTATGTCGACACCCACAGGGACCTGAGAGTTTGTTACAGCTAAATTTGGACCTAAACTAAAGGCATTCAGAGTAATTTAACATGTTTTAGGGGTTTAGATCGACTTTCGGGAGAAATGACACCCCCAATGTTCATTTAGATGATTGGGGGGGTCATTTCTACCGAAAGCCGATCTAAACCCCTAAAACATGTTAAATTACTCTGAACACCTTAGTTTAGGTCCAAATATAGCTGTAAGAAATGCTCAGGTCCCTGTGTCGACAACCTGCTTTGTCTACTTCTAATGTAAATGTACGTTAACATTCACGGGGAAATGCAGGCTAACTTTTTGTCAAGACACGTCAGATCACTAGGCCTGTTCCTAATTCATTCACGAACAACTATAGTCCAACCGTAGAAGTTACAGAATGTCACTTGACATTAGCTTGTATTCTCACTGATTTAAACTAAGAAGAAAAAAAGAAAAAAAAACGAACTTTCGATTTTTAAAAACAGAAATAGCGCGCAGGTAGAACAGAAGACTGAATCTACATTATATTCCTCTGCATTGTGTGATATTACATATTGATTTATTCCTGATTTAGTTCGTTCAGACACCATTGTCTCCGGTAAAACCAGTGAAGCGCTGTTGAACGTTGGCTGTGTTTTGGAAGGTTGTATTAATAATGGTTCCACCACGTGTCGGGGACCACTACCGAACCGGAACCACGTGTGTCCTGGGTCCATGCAAGATAAGAATAGTTTGTATCCTTTGTCTCTTGGATTTTAAATCGATGACGTTTTTCGGGTCACACTTCCACACCGGAAAGAATATTGCTTGTGTAAATAGGTCTATGGAAGGTTGGAACAGGCTGTGCAAATTTTGAGATGTATTATCAAACAAATACTCAAATGAACAAAGAAAATGCACCAGAAATGCATAGAGAAACAAACCGTTGACAACGTGAAATCAATGTAGTATTATAACAAATAAAGCGAGTTATATAAGTGTTATAAATATGTTCTATCGTACTTAAGCTGACTATTCGATCACATTTATAACTAACTATCGCGACATAAAAAATAATATTGAAAAATTAAACCCCTTAAGTTCGACGATTAAGAAATTGGTCTAGGAAAGTTCGGCGATTAAGACATTGTTCTAGGAAAGTTCGTCGATCAAGAAATCGCGTTAGGAAAGTTCGGCGATTAAAGAAATTGGTTTTGGAAAGTTGGCGATTCAGACATTGGTTTTGGAAAGTTGGCGATTTAGACATTGTATAAGGAAAGTTCGACGATTAAGACATTGGTCTAGGCAAGTTCGGCTATTAGGACATTGGTCTAACAAAGTTCAGAAATTAAGACATTGGTCTAGGAAAGACAGGCGATTAAGACATTGGTCTAAGAAAGCTCGATGATTAAGCCATTGGTCTAGGAAAGTTCGGCGATTAAGACATCGTTCTATGAACGTTGGCGATTAAGACATTGGTTAAGGAAATTTCGGCGATTAATGCATTAATCTAGGAAAGTTCGACGATTAAGTCATTGATTTTGGAAAGTTGGTGATTAAGACATTAGATAGGGAAAGTTCGGCGATTAAGGCATTGGTCTAAGAAAGTTCGGCGATTAAGACACTGGTCTAGGGAAGTTCGTCGATCAAGACATTGGTTAAGGAAAGTTCGGCGATTAAGACATTCGTTTAGGAAAGTTCGGCGATTAAGACATTGTTCTTGGAAAGTTGGCGATAAAGACATTTGTCTAGGAAAGTTCGCCAATTAAGACATTGGTCTAGGAAAGTTCGGTGATTTCGACATTGATTTAGGAATGTTCGGCGATTAAGACACTAGTTTAGGAAAGTTCGGCGATTAAGACATTGGTTAAGGAAAGTTCGGCGATTAAGACATCGGTCTAGGAAAGTTCTTCTAAGAAAACTAAAGACCGAGCGCTGTGATGAATAGCTGGAAAATACTTTACACCTATTTTTACATATAGAGAACGAGTACAATGACATTCTATGGAACATTAGCAAAGACAAGCGACAGGTCGAACACATAATTGTATCATTGTCAAGGCAATCTGTCCCTTTTTATATAGACACAAACACGAAATAATTATACTTAACAGAAAATGCAAGAAATTTGAGAAAAACTATTACTACTGAATTTTAAACTGCTGTTAAAGCAGAATGTTGTTGTGCCCTCTAACTTCCCCTATTTGTCCACTGATATCTCCTATTTCGAGCTATCCCTACAGGAAACTACCGTTTGTAACCTGAATGCTATTATTTGTTATCTGAATACCCTATTACTTTTATTGTATCGTGTATCTTTTTTGTTCCTATTTGTCACATAATGTTCCCTGTGTTTCTTTTCGTCATGCTCCACGATTGTCTTCTAGCGGTCCCTATCTTAATTTGTCCATTGATGTTACTAACTTTCCCGGTTTTGTTTCCCCTTAGCCCGAGATTCCTCTGGCCCTGACACCAGACTGGGACATTTTGACAGATAGATGTCTCTGTCAAACTGTCCCAGTCCGGTGTCAGGGCCAGAGGAAACTCGGGTTAGTTTCCCTTATATATTTTGTCATATCACGGAATAAGAAAGCAATTTCATCTAACAATGTTATCTAATTCCATAGTCATATCATGTCGCCTTTGCTCTTAGCTAGTCCCTGTTCGTCATGTTATATCTCTGTTCGCCCATCGATTTTCTCTATTCACCCCACACCATGTTTATCGTCTGATGATCCATATTTCAAATTGTCCTTAGATGGCTACGGTTTGTCCCGATATGCCCCCTCTTTTCCTCAGATGGTCCGAGTACGGTGGTCCGAGATGACGCGCGCACTGACCAGCTGTACAACTGTCCAGCCACTCGTTAGATTTAAATTAAACATACAACATACTTCACTATATTTTCTTGTTCTGTTTCACTAAATCACAGAGGACATCGCATTATTATAATTAAACAACACAAATTGAAATTATCAAAAAGGCGAAATTGTCCTCGAGTGCCCGCTTGTCCTGGTATGACCGGTGGTCACTTGAGAGAAAAGATTAGATTTTCTTTTTCTTTTGATTTCTATATTAAAATCAATGGAAGATGTGTACCACGTGTCCCCGTCGGCTCCTTTCATTGTTTCACTTGTCCGCAGATCGCGTTTGTCCTCCCGACTTTTTATATATAGCAACCGATCTTTATCCTCAATTACACTCAGTCCATATCATTGTAATAATAAATGTTTCTGTTTTCTATAGAATTGAATACAAATGCCGACTGTCTTGTCCATAGCATCCTGCCGTGATTAATATCCATTAAATCGTTTTCCTTGGCGGATCAACAGCTGCCGAAAGTTGTCCTTATAACCACCGGTAGTGGGACGATTAATACCAGTCTACCATTTGTCGTGTAGTCGGTGTGGTGGTGGTAATCGGCTTTTATTCTACTATTCAAGTCCGTTAAGTAGTTTGCTTTATTATTTGATCATCCTGCATCCAATATGCAGTGCGGGTGATATAGAGAGTGTCTTTCAAACAGCAAGCATTTTCATCGATAACCAAGTGAATAATGTTTTATGACGGAAAGAGAATTCTTCAATAAGATTACCAATGAATCCCTTTACACACATTTTCAAAAAGAAATGGACCGACAGATTCGTTTCTAAGTATATTATATTCAACATTTAGAAAACGAACACTCTAAATAGGCCTATATATACCCCGATATGTTTATTTTTACATGTTTTAGGGGTTTAGATCTATCTAATCGAAGTCGATTCGGACACACTATAAGCGTATGTACACTTTGTTCATACAGACCATTCGATTCGGCTACCTTCAACTTACAATACATGAACTACAGTATTATGGATGCTGTGAGAGTCTTGTGAAAGGGACCTGCCGGCTTGATTGTCCCGTGTTTTGTACCGTTCCTGACGACAATGTAAGGCATCTGACCCACAGGGACTTGAGAATTTGTTACAGCTATATTTGGACCTAAACTAAGGTGTTCAGAGTAATTTTGTATGTTTTAGGGGTTTAGTTCGACTTTCGGTAAAAATGACACCCTCAATGATCATATCATATGATCATTGGGGATCTTATAATGATAATATTATCATTGGGGGGGGGGGGGGGGGGGGAGGGGGTGTCATTTTTACTGAAAGTCGATCTAAACCTAAACCCCTAAAACACGAACATTTACTCTGAACACCTAAGTTTACGTCCAAATATAGTAGTAACAAATGCTCAGGTCCCTGTGATCTGACCTTCGTAACACATCCAATCGGTTAACAAGAGGCCCATGGGCCTTAACGGTCACCTGATATATTTATACAGAGAGTTGATTTTGTTTTTAACATGAACAGAAATATTATTCAAAGTGACAAAAAACAATAAAACCACCTTACTCAATATCTAGCATACAGATTTCAGA